CTGTTGTCTTTCGTTCAACATTCAGATTAAGGAGCCCCACAATGTTACGCCGCTAAACATATAAAGCCGTAAGTCGTAACACACCTTTACTATCTACGACACCTTACGTCTCTCTGTATCGATGTCCGTTTTTGGTTTTCATATTTATTAGGAGTACTACATTTACCGCTTTTTGGAAGGTGCTGCTGCTGATTCAGTAATAAATACGCAAATTTGTCGAAGTTTTCAAAATATTATTAAATTCATTTAAAAAGGAAATGTGCATGAGAAGTTTGAAGAATTTCTGTGCACCGACAATATGAAGAAATAAATAAAAAACGGGACCGTCGGAAGCCGGGAGTCGGGAAGACTAGATTTACCGTTTGTTACGCACGTATGCACGTTTGTTAAATTTTTTCGCTTGTCGCGTTTTTATGTACGTTTGTACTGTAAAGATGATTGTTGGTTTTGCATTCATATATGTTTGTTACGTACGTGGTCGTTGGTAAAATGCTTTAATGTATATTTGTTCTTCAAAAACGTCTGTTGATTATGCATTGTATCATTTGTTAAGTTTTTATGGTTATTGAAATTAAAATAATTGATTGTTTTCTTATTATGGTAATTTTTGCCCTTTCCGCTGCCCATAGACGTCTGTAAGAGTAAATAATAGCACAGTCCGCGTAATTTTTGAACGGCCCTCGTACATTAATGACATACTCATCTTTTTCCATGTTTCTCAAGTTCTCTCGTCCTCTGTTACAAAAAAGTAACATAATTTAAAAAAAACCCTTCCATTGTGAAGTCTTGGGGCTATCAACATTGAAAACGCCACGGTCATACAGTTTTTTCATGTCTCCGTCACAAGAAAACCTTAAGTTTGGATATCAAACAGGAAAAATTCGAAGTTAAGAAGGAAAATTCAAATGTTATTCGAAAATCAAGAAAAAAGATACCCGTTGATCATTTAGCATAATTGAGAGCTGTCGCATTAACGAAAACGCTGTGTCAGGGTCAATAACTCTTTATCTGTGGATGCAGTACATATGCACTTATTCTCGTTAAACAAAGAACACGACAAAGATGGTATTTTTTGCTAAAGCGCTATATTACAATAGGTGTGATATTAATATAATTCTGTGTGTAATTCGTGTCAAGAACTTGATTTCTCGTTGCGGAGGATTGAATATTTGGAGAGTTCCGTAAAAGCATTTCGTAGTTTTGGATACGCACTGTAATTTATGTGAAAGACTTTTATTTCACTTGCAGAAATTAAGCCTTTGTTTTGCCCATTTCATTCTGTAATTCAGATTCAATATACATGTAATTTAAAATGATGAAACCGCCTTGGTGTTCAATAATTTATTTACACGGCGCAGTTTTTGCTGGCTCCGCCCATCGGTGTATCTCCAGTTATTGTACACTTTACTTCAACGGAAAAACACCGCAGCCATGATACAATGAGTAAATACTGTTTAAAATTTTTCCACAAAAAGTTACTATGTTTACTATTTATTTTAACCATTTCCATCTGTTATCCAGATGTCCAGTGTTTTACAGAAAATGCACAAACCGATAGCACTGGTTCTCTGCCCTTGATTTCAGTCGCAGCCGATAGGAATTACAGGTTTTTTTTAGAGCGCTTGCGCTAGTTAACCAATGCAAACTACAAGTACAGCTAGACGGCTATTGGGAATACACGTTCATATCAGTGACATGCGGATTTTCCTAGTTTCGTTTTTTAATTACTTGGTAAAACGCTAGGTACCGTTAAATTGTTTTTCTTTGCAGACGGCTGTCATGGTATTTTGTCTTACACGAAGTATGTACATGTCTGTGACACTTTTCTGGATAGCTGTATTTTTACGTGTCCTTCCTTACGATTTTGTAAGTACTTATTGCTTTGTGTTTCTATCGATTTCTCGAACATTTGGGTTACCAAGTACACGTACACAGATTATTCAAGTGGGTACGACTTTTTTTAAATTACATTGGAGCAGATAAACTGGGCGGTTATCTGATCTTGATTTATTTCAAACTTAATTCAAGCATTGTAGTATTAAGATAAGAATTCAAATTTTTGAGAATTCATGAGATACTTGAATTACATAGCTTCATGCCTTCATATTTAGCATGAAGCGCTAACACGCTTTATAAACCGTCGTAGTTTATCTTCTCATGAATTTCTCAAATGTCAAATTATTATCTACAGGAAACTAGCTATACGTGTACCTTTGCCCATATCACTACAGATCTTAGCCTAAAAATATTAATATTACACAATTGATCCACTACTGAATACAATAAGTTAATTATCCTTCCTAAGGAATGTCAACCGAGTCTGAAAGAGGGGAATTTTGTAAAGTGAGGGTTGCAATGATGACTTATAGAAAGGTTTGGCAAACTAAGTTTTTATTACAAGAACGTGTAGCAGGATAAATCCGGGGATATATATCAAGATAACTCTTTCAATTAAATCATCAATTTTGATTTGGATAAAATTCCACCATTTTCTACGTGCATGTAGAACGTAAATGTAGATCACCGAATACCATAATTTCAAACTTTAAAGATTTTATTTTAATGCACTTCTAGGTAATATATGCTCAGACGTATAGGTCCGATATTGTGTTGAGTCTTCAGAAAAAGCTTATCTATCTACGTTTTGGTCACTGACTCTAGACTTTGGGTTTTTGTTTCTTATGTATCGCTTACGTTCCCGTCATCTGTGTGTTCACCTAACCATATCTAATATATTTAAAGTCTAAACTAAGTAAACGATACAGGGATTTAGTTATGATATAATTGTTGAGATATATTCAACTAGTCTTCTAGTGTAATTTCGCGCTTTCATAACAAATTGCCGAACAAAGGACACATCTCTTCTCCAGCTTGCTTTCGCTGTGCTACAAAACAAGCGTCCTATTAAAGAAACACCGACATCTTACGAACGAAAGTAACCATAAAAGGTGATCAGTCAATGCATTCACAGTTGCATTATCTAATTTTTTCAATTTCATTATGATTTCTTTCGATGAAATCCCAAAAAGATACCTTAAACCTACTTCTTGTCGCAGTCGCTACCGTAACAATACAATACATAACAATGGATATTTAAATTTGCAAAGGGGTTCCGAAAAGGGAAATGAAAGAAAAAATAAACAATGTCTTATTTTGAGGCACAGGGTCAAAGATTCCGGCTAACGGAAAAGAAAGCGAATGAGAGGTACGACATAAGCATAAAAATGGCCTTTCTGCTCATGCTACTGGCTAAAGTTATATTAGTTTTTTTTTAAATTCTGTTACATGTATAAAAAAGAGGGGATTTATTAATATTACGGATGTAATTATTTTCAAAGTGAATTTTATGTTTATGGTTTTCATTGAAAACCATTGTAAATGTGTACTAAAGTAATTTAAGAAAGAAGACATAAAAGTAAATTATCTCTGAACCCGGGATGTATTGTTTGGGAGGGGGGTTGTCCTCGCATTTATGATATAGCTGTATAATACATGTACATGTTTCTAAATCCAGGTTTAATATTTTGCAGAATATAGTATTTAGAAAAAAGTTTTTTCAAATGTTGCTATTACGAAGAGTTATAACCTCTGATAATACATGTATCTGTATAGAAGATTTATTTAATAGCCATTACTGAAGTGAAATTAATGAGAATGTTTCTGCAACTGAAACTCGTACGTGTACATTAAATTCTAAATGTTTAGTTTTTACAAATTGAAATGCAATGCCAATTAGCTGAACAGATATTGATCGAAGTTATCCTTGTACATATAAATGCAGCGTCGATGTGTAAAGTCTAATTGTCCCCCGCTTGAAAAGTGGGGGATATTAATTTTTTGGGTTTGTCCGTCCGTCCGTCTGTCCGTCCGTCCGTCCGTCCGTCTTTCTGTCTGTCTGTAACGCTTTCGTTTCCACACGATATCTCGAGAACCCTTTGAGCTTTTGTAATGAAATTTAGCATAGCAACTCCCTGTGGACTAAAGAAGACCCCTATTGATTTTGAGGTCAAAAGGTCAAAGGTCAAGGTCATAAATAAGCAAATTCTGTCTGTTAAAACACTTTCGTTTCCACACGATATCTCTAGAACCATTTGAGCTATTGCAATGAAATTTTATATAACAACTCCCTGTGGCCTAATGAAGACCCCTATTGATTTTGAGGTCAAAAGGTCAAAGTTCAAGGTCGTAAATTTATACATTCTGTCTGTGTGTAATACTATTATTTCCGGGCGATATTTCAAGAAGATTTTGAGCTTATGTAATGTAATTTTATATCAAAACTCCCTAGGACGTCTCTCGCCCCTCTCAAAGTGCCCCACCCCGTTTGTTTTATTAGTATTTATAGTATTACATGTCGCTATTTTTAGAGCAGGGGCATGAGGAGAGTTATTGCGTATAAAACAGGTTCTCGGCGGACTTTATGTTCTTATTACATCTATTAGAATTGTTTAATAAAGGCTAAATAAATCAAACACCATGGATTGTGTAAAATTTTGAGAATACCGAACATGAAAACATGAATATATGTGACTTCACTTCTGCATATACTTCGTACCATGTGAAGCGATTCCGTGGTCTAGTGGTTATGTCTCTCGCTTCAAGTGTGAGAGGTCCCGGGATCGAATCTCGGTCGAACCTTTCTTTTTTTTTTTTTTAAACTACAGTGGACCCCCATTTATCCGGACAGTTTGGTTCCCAGTCAATTTGTCCGGATATGTGAAGCATCCGGATATCTGAATCAGCAATTAAACAAGACAAAATAACATTTAAAAATTTTGTTCCGATGAAAAATCGTCCGGATACTGAAGCATCCGGATATCTGGCGTCCGGATATCTGAGGGTCCACTGTAAATGATAGTATTCAGCATGTGAAATGAAAAATTTATGAGGTTATAAAAGCATCATTACAGTGTGATAAAAATTCTATATAAAAAAATCTTCTATACACATAATGAAGAATAAGCAATCAAATCTTTATATGCATATTGACATACATGTATTTTATTTGCTTCAGTATACATGTATACATTTAATAATTCTACAAATTCAGTCAGGGGGAGCCGACTTTTTCCCTAAGCGGGGGACACGAATTCTCTGAATTAGCTTGTTTTATGTGTTTTATCAGTCAAATTGGGCTTGAAAAGCGGGAGGGTATAAAGTTATCGGTATGTCCGTCCGTCCATCCGCGTCTGTCTGTACGTCTGCCGATCTCTTATCCTCAACTCCTCTTATACTACTAGGTGAAAGTAAATAAAACTTTCCCAGAATCTTTATTAACATATTGCCATTGGAAATAAAATGCATACAGCATGCGGATGATAGTACTTTTCCAGTCAAAGATGAAGAATCTCTTAAACACGTAATTAAAATCATTGAAGATTTCGGGTCGATATCAGGTACAAAGTTGAATCTATCAAAAACAGAATGTATTCTATTGGGAGAACTTAAACAGGACATTGAAGGGGAGACATCTCTACATGGTGTCAGAATTAACTCTAAAACAATAAAATGCCTCGGCATATACATCGGGCATGACGAAGCAGAAAGAAATGAGAAAAACTGGCTATGCAAATTAAGAGAATTTGAAAAAATACTTGACTCTTGGCGAAGCAGAAAATTAACTATTTTTGGAAAATGTCAGATTATAAATTCTCTATTAATCTCAAAAATATTATACACTGCTTCAATATTAGAGAACCCAGAGCAATCTTTCATCAAAAGTCTAAACAAAATAATATTCTCCTTCATTTGGGGTAACCGTGAAAGAATTAAACGCGAAACCTTAATAAGAAGCATAAACGAAGGCAGAATCGGTATCACTGACTTTGAGTCTAAAGTCAAAGCTATTAAAGCCTCATGGGTTACAAAGATTACGAAAGATAAAAGCAGTCTACTCTCTCTCGTAAATGCTGTTTTGTACAAAAATAATATAGATTTTGCGTTTTTAACAAATTCAAGCGTAACAAATTACAATGATCTCATACTAAACTCCCTTCCTGAGTTTTATAAAGAGGTTGTCTTGGCTTTTAATGAATGTAAGGATAATACTCTTATAAATCTTGCCAATCAGAATATTTGGCTTAATAAAAACATTTGCTTTAAAGGTAAACCACTATTCTTTCCGAATTGGACCAAAGGGGTCTTTTGTTAGTAAAAGACCTTTTTAATGACAATGGTTTCAAAACTGTAAATGAAATTAAAGAAAAATTAGCATCCACTAATAATTTCCTTTGCGAATATTTAATGGTAAAGACCGCCTTAAAGAAACACTATTCATGCATAAACATGCAAACTATAAACTTTGTAAACATAAACGCTAATCAACAATTCTATTTTGACGGAAAATTTGAAGATATTTCTAATAAAAAATCTTGTTTTTTCTACAACATTTTAATAAAAAAGAAATCACACAAGCCAATCATGGAAAATATCTGGTGTAGAGAATTCCAAATAGATAAGAGTCATTTCGATACTATATATGAAAATAAAGTTCGCTCATTATTTGATAAATCTGTATCAGAATTTAGTTATAAGCTACTACATATCTGTTGAATACAAATCTATCCGTTAGTAAGTGGGATAAAAACAACAGTGGCAACTGTGATTTGTGCGATACACAAGAAAATATCAAACATTTGATTTTCGAATGTGACTTGATAAAGCCAATCTGGAGTAAAATTTCTCAATTAATAAAGATAGATATAACATGGAAAATGATTGTTATAGGCTTTATTATTTTCAACAACAAATACACTTTTAATTTAGATAATACATTGTCATTTTTGGCGTGTAAGATTTACAAATATAAAATGAAATGTAGAATTGTTAAAGACCAGGGGCCCGTTTCACAAAACTATCGTAAGATT